CGGGGAACTTCTAGGCCTTGTTGCCCCCATGGGGCCCCAGGAGGGAGGCTGTCCCAGGTGGTGTCCCCCAGGTCGGCGGGGCAGATGGGGGGGGGGCAGGGTTGTCAGAGCGACTCAGACGCCAGGAACCCTCACGCCTGCCACGTGGGAAATACTCAGTTTTCTGGCAGCCTCATAGGAATGAAGGGAAGAAGGGTGAAATTAATATTTTACTTAACCTAGTACATCTAAAACATTGTCTTTCAACTGTAATCATGTGGGAATTAGGAAACATCTTACAGCCTAAGAATGCAGACTAAGTATTTGAGATTCAGTGTCTTCTATACAGACACACGTGTCCATGGAGCCCTGTTGTGGACAGCAGACAGGAGGGACACACGTGTCCACGGAGCCCCATTGTGGATGGCAGACGGGAGGGACACACGTGTCCACGGAGCCCCATTGTGGACGGCAGATGGGAGGGACACACGTGTCCACGGAGCCCCATTGTGGACGGCAGACGGGAGGGACACGTGTCCACGGAGCCCCATTGTGGATGGCAGACGGGAGGGGCACGTGTCCACGGAGCCCCATTGTGGACGGCAGACAGGAGGGACACACGTGTCCACGGAGCTGCGTCGTGCATGGCAGACAGGCCAGCCACAGGCCTGGTGTAACTGCAGGACCAAATATTGCCTGATTCCTGTCTGTCACCTGTCTGCGGCCTGCGTCCCACCTCCACACACGTTGGCTCACGTATACCCTGCCGGCCAGGCTGGCCACTGCCGGTTCCTGCTGCTTGAGCCCGAAGTGTGACACAGCACCCACCTGGGCACCCTCGGGATGTGGTCACCTCCGAGCAGCCCTGGGTCCGTCAGTTGCACGCGAGGTCATGGGGTCATAGGTTCTGAGAGCACCGCCCGCGTGGTGGCTGTGATAGGAGCACGTGCCCTGACACTGCTGGGTGACGGGTCCTCGGTGGCCTTTCTGTGGTTTGCACCAAGCAGCTCATGGTCCAGTCAGTTCTTGGGGAACATTTTAGGTTAAGTACAGTTTGTTTTGTGTCAGCATTAGAATTTTTTTTTCTGATTCTCACCTGAGGATATTTTTATTTTGTCCATTGATTTTTTGAGAGAGTAGAAAGGCAGGAGGAGGGAGGGGGAGAGAGAGAGAAACGATGTGAGGATTGGTTGCCTCCCACGTGTGCCCGACCAGGGCTGCAGAGTGAACCTGCAACTGAGATATGTGCCCCTGACCGGGAATTGAACCCCTGATCCTTTGGTTTGAGGGCCGACGCTCTGACCACGGAGCCACACCGACCAGAGCAGCGTTAGAATTTGAAGATCTAGTCCAAAGACATTAAAAAGCTGTTTCCTCTCCAGCTTCTTGGCAGCCTGTCAACATGGACAGGCGTGGCTCTGTCACGTGGGCTCCGGTGCCCTGGGCTGGGGTCCTTCAGCAGCTGGGGGATTGACAGTCCCTTCCTCAGACATTGGCCCTGGACCCGCCATGTGCCAGGTTTCGTGGCAGGAGAGCCAGGTGTGGTCGCTGCCTCCCTGGGCGTTCTGGCAGTGAGAAAGCCACTTCCTGCGACCTCGTTAGCTGAACTGCCGCTTCCCGTGGTTGATAATTTATTCAGCACAAATGTCACCTGTCCGCGTGTCACTGCTGCTGCTGACAGCAGTCACAGTAACACTCACTGAGGAAGCGTGGGCTTCTCCTGCTCTGGCGGCGACGGGGCCTCTGCCCGTGTGAACTTCCCCATGCGGGGGTATGTTACTGTCCCCGTTGATGGGAGGAAACTGAGGCACGGGGTACGGGGCTTGCATAGCTCACAGTGTCCAAGGATGTCCCATGGAGGATGTGGGGTCAGGGTAGCAGGAGGGCCGGGGCTTGGACACCGCACCTCTGAGCTGGGTCCCTCCACCGCATGTCACTGCTGTCCCCGCTCACGTGTGAGTCTGTCAGGGGCCAGACAGAGCCCTGGGGCTCAGGGATGCCCATGTGCTGGGGGGGTGCACCCACGCAGAGATCCTTGTCCTTTGCAGACGGCAGGGTGGTTCATCTGAGTCTGGAAAGGTCCCCACAGCCACCAGCATCACTTGCTGCCCAGCGTTGGAGGCCACCCCTTGGAATCTGCCTGAGGCAAAACCTGCAGCAGGAAGGTTCCCATCTGCAGGCGTCCCTGCAGCCCCGGTCACGTCCTGAGGACTGGGAACCGCCAGCGGCCCAGGGCTCTGACCTTTTCCCGCCTCCCATTCACCTGCCCCGAGGCTGAGCGAGAGGCGGCCACTGTGGCTGGGGCGCCGGCGGGGCCTCCGCTGGGGGCCGCCTGGGAAAGGAAGAGCAGCCACGACTCAGGCTCGTGACGCAGCCCCAGCGTGTCCCAGAGTCAGGCTGCTGGCTGCGCCGAGAAGCGGGGCGTGCCCAGGCTTACCGCCAGGGCTGGGCACTCGGGCGACTGCTGAGCGGTCATGGCTGAGACCGCGGGCCTCAGCTGGTGGAGGCGGGATGGTTCCATCGCCTGCGGGCCCTTGCTGACCACGTGGGGCGGTGTGTGGCGCGGGCTCACTGGGAGGAAGGCGCAGGGGCCGAGGCGCTCGCCTGGGTGGCTTTGTTGATGGGCATCTCGTGGACACAGGCAGGGACTAGTTCACTGATGTCTCCCCACGGCAGTGCTGTGTTCAAACCTCGCTTTGTCAGGTTTGCCAACGTGGCCACACAGTGTGTGTGGAAAGTGAAGGTGGAAAACTAAATTGCCCTCAGCAGCTGCTGGGCTGATCACTGATGGGCTGTCTCAGCCCCTCCCTCTTGCTGTCACCTCGCAGGGGACTGTCCCCAGGAGAGTGACCCCCTGACCCCGAGTGTGACCAGTGGCAGCCTCCTGAGCAGTGGCCTTCACCAGCACGACACGGTCAGTGCAGAGCAGCTCACGGCTGCACGGCATGCCAGGTCCTGGTCGGGAGTCCCTGCCCCACGCGTCAGCAAGACAGGCCTTCAGGAGAAAAGCATCTGCCTTTAAGAAACCGTTTGCGTGTGTTCTCTGCCTCGTAAAGGTCGCCGGGTAGATTTTCCTGCTTTAGTATCGCCGGCCACGAACGCTGGGCTTTTCCATTCTCCCTCCGTCCCGCGAGCCGGGACCAAATTAGATTCTGAAATTGAGTGTGGGGCCGAGTTGGCGGGTTCCCGTAATGGGAGGGGAGTGCTGCCACCTTGCAAGTAGCGGGGTCATGATAATATGAAGAAAGTGGATTAGAAAGGAAACCAAGGGTATTTACTTACGACCTGCTCGGAATTGGATTGGCACCTGTGTGAGTTGCACCTAATGGTGAGAGACAGCGATTGATGTTGATGCCTCCCCGGGGACGTGGTGCCAGGGAAATTCGCTCTGTGGATTCAATTTAAAGGCCCCCAGAAAGTATCTAAAATGCAAAAGGAAATGAACTGAGGGCGAGGAGGTGGCCACAGAGAAACAACACTGGAGGAGAGTCTGCGGAGAGCAGAGGGCTCCAGACCGAGCAGGGCCAGTCGCCTGGCACGCACGGCCACGGTGGGAGCTGGGATCCCCGCTACACATGAGGAGCCCGAGGCCCTGAGGCCAGCCCGCTCCACACAGCCAGGTGGCCGCACAGCCAGGATCCGAGACAGGCCTGGCGTCCGGTCTGTGTCCCGAGTGCCCGCGATGGGCGGGCTGTGCCAGATGGCTGTACCACGACCATGGACAGATAGAGGGGGTGGGACTCAGAGGGGAAGCCACACAGTAATAGAGGCCCAGGCCCAGGATGTGACCATGGAGCCCCACTCGCCCCGCCCTGTCCCCCCACCCCCACTGCCAGCCTTGCAGGGGCAGGAAGCTTGGGGGGTGAGAGGCCAGGAACTGCTGACCATCAGCCCCTGGCTGCTCCTTTCCCAGGCAGGAAGCCCGGGCAGCCTGCATCCGATCCCTCTGTCACTTGTCACCTGCTGGGAGCTGGGAGCAGCACCAGCACCCTCAGAGCCCCAGCTCCCCTCCAACTCCCCCAGATCCAGCTTCTTCCAGAAGGACGGAGAAATACAGGGGTGCAGAGCCACAGGGCCATGGAGCAGTGGGGGCTCCTCCCTTGAGCTCTCCCTGCTCCTGCCAAGCCCCTCTGTGCCGGGCCTGTGCTCCCCGAAACCTGCCTCGTCCTTGGTGGGGCTGCCGGCTGCTCTGCATGCAGCCTGTGGGGAGGGCTGGTGTTCGGGTTCGATGCCTGGTGTGTGGGGCTGGGTCTCACTCCAGGGACCTTTCCTTCCCAGTGTCCACCTTGGTGGCAGTTCATCAGGTTACCGTCTCTTCAAGGCCCCTCCCCCTGGTTTCTGGAGCGGGAGCTCCCGAGGCAGCCAGCCCTGTGGGGGTGGCTCTGTGCCAGCCACCGAGCTGAGACATGGGTGCTGCTGGGTGTCCGGGCCAGGGCAGCTGGGGCTCTAGCAGGTCTTCCCTGGAAACACTGGGGATTGAGTGAGTGACCGTGACGAGGACTGCCCTGTGTCCCCTGCCTTTGGGTGCTGCTGGCCTGTGGGTGACTGTCCGGTGTCCATCTGCCTGTGTGTCCCTGCTGCAGTGTTACCCGGGGTACAGAAGTCTGGGTCTAAGGACACTGGGGTCTGTGGGTGGCACCTTCCTAGTGTGTAGAGCCCTTGGGGAGTGGACCAGGGAGCAAGGCTTCCGAGCCAGGGCAGGACACTGCACCCGGCCAGATCCCACCGGGCCCAAGCCTGGGCCCTGGGGTGTTGGGGACACTCAGTGGAATGAGGTGACAGCTTGTAGCTCCCCAGCAGATGTCTCCTAAGTCCAGCCCCTCCTGGCTGCTGGGCTGGTGATCTGTGGTTGAGGGGGGAGGGCACACGACTGATCTGTGGGCTGCTCCAGGCTGGGGCTGGGATGGCACAGAGCCCGTGGCTCACCCCCCGCGGGCTGGTACGGTTCCCCAGCTCTGCGGAGAGGAGCCTGGCCTGCGGCGGCCTGCCGCTGTGGCCTCCCTCACCCGCTCTCCCCCTAGGAGCTGCTGCTGCTGCTGCAGAACCTGCCCACGGCCCACTGGGGCGATGAAGACGTCAGCCTGCTGCTGGCCGAGGCCTACCGCCTGAAGTTCGCCTTTGCCGACGCCCCCAATCACTACAAGAAGTGAGTGTGGCCCCGCAGCAGGCCCCACGCCCCGGACTGCACCCATCCGTTTGCTGGCCACAGGCCTGTGGCCAAGGAGAGGCCTTGCTGGACAGCCCTGCCCCTGGGGCGCCCGCCGGGAGGGCACCGGGCACAGCCCAGGGCCTGGCCAGGGCGGGCTGCCTGTTTCCCGAGATACCAAAGAGAGCCAGGGAGGGTCCCGGCCGTGCCTGCCAGCGAGCATCGGGCCCTCCCTGTCCTGGAGTGTCCTTGCCAAGCGACCGCCTCCTGGAGCCCAGCCCGCGGTGGCCCTCGGAGAGCCTGTGCCCGGTGCCAGGGAGGAGGAGACGGTGGGCATCTCGCACCTGCTCTGAAATGCACAAACTGTTCTGCTGAGGGAAGGAATAAAATACAGACAAATGTGAGTGAAGCGTCGCGTCGCCTTAGGTCTGCTCTCGCGGCGGCCGTGTTCGTGCCTGGCCCTCCCTTGACCTCGGCTGTGGACGGGCTGCTTTGGGCTCAGTGGGAGCAGCCCGCCCGGGGGGAGGGCCGGGCACTGGGGCCCTGCTGCAGCTGGCCGGGGGCAGGGCCTCGGGATCGCCTCAGTTTGTCTCCAGCCTCTGGAAGAGACCCGGCCCTGCCGGTCCCAGTCAGGTAACCACGGGCGGGGCTCCGGCCAGCTGCCGCTCGCACAGAGGTATAGGTGGGGCGCAGCCTCGGAGGGGAACCGAGCTCGCCCCACTGCGAGGGTTGGTTGGCATTTGCAGCCCAGCAGCCGTTCCATAGGCGCACGTTGGGGGGGTCTCAGCCCCACAGGTGGTCTGAACCCCAGGGGTCCTGAGACAGGACCTTGACGGTGTCAGTCAGCTGTCCCCGAATGTCTCACCCTGCCGGCCACCAGGAGAGGCCCTGCCTGCTGGTGCGAGGGGCCCAGTCAGACGTGGGGGAGGCGGGCTCCAGGGCGGGGGGCAGGGCCAGGGGAGCGGTTTGTGGGAAGGGCCTTGGCTGGTGGGAACTCTGGGTCTGTGCGAACACGCGGGTTTTATTACAGCTGCAGGAAGACGGGCCCTGCTCGGCGGTGCCAGGCCTGGGCCTCGGCGCTGGCCGCCTTGGGCTGGGCGTCTCGCTGGCCCTGCAGCTCGGGGCTGCTCTCGGGGTCGCTGTTCTTATCGTCTCTGTCTGTCCACCCAGAGGGGTGAGGAGTGGGGCTCCCCTGGGGCAGGCGCTGTGCCCTCTCCCTGGTCTGGCCCTGGACCCAGGTGTGTGGACAGCAGCACATAGCCCCTCTCATGCCCACTTCTCTGCCCGCTGGCACCCACCTTCCAGGAGAGGGGGCCGAGGCGAGGGCTCAGACGGCTCCCGAGCTCACAGAGCTGGCCCAGGGCCGCGTGCCTCGCCATGCCCTCATCTCGCCTGGCGGGCACCTTCACCGTCCCCACTTAAAGGTGGGGTTGGGGGTGCAGGGACGCACTTGAGACGGCACGCCAGCCTCGCCGAGACCGACGGCAGGTGGTGGGCGGGGCTGCTGGCGCCAGGTGCCCGTGCACCACGCGAGCCCTCTCCTGGGGCCGACCCCACGCCCTGCGCATACACCGGCTGCCAGGGCAGAGCCGGGAAACCAGGCTCCTGAAGATCTCCATCGACTTGCCGAGTTAACGTGTGTGCTCCCCACGTCCAGGGCTGTAACGAGGTGTCCGCGGGAAGGGCACACTGAGCGGATGAGTAAAAGGGCTTTACGGTGTCATCTCACGTTCGTAATAAGGTTTACTGTCGACGTAAAATGTAACAACGTGGTAATTTACCCGGTGACCTGACGAGGGCGTGTGGTTCAAGCTCCCGGGTGACAGGCGGGAGGGCCAGGGCCCACCCCACGGTGCCCCCCGAGGCTTGTGGGAGGGTGGTGGGCAGACCCTTTCCATCTGGCCAGAGGGCCAGTGGTTTGGCCCAGCCAGAGTCCAGGGCTGGGACCGAGCGCACCCCTGGGTTCCTGGGTCAGAGCTTCCTTGATTCACGCCTCACTCCCTGTGCCCAGCCCTGAGCTCAGGCCTGAGGGAGCCACAGGGACTGGGTCTGTGCCCAGCTCCAGCCCAGGGGTGTGAATGAGCCTTTAGAGAAGGCCTCAGGGCTGCACACACGTGTCTCGGGGGCTCATCCAGCCTGGGAGGATCGGGGACGTCTTCACAGAGAAGGGGACGTTCGGCTGGGCCTTGAAGGGTGAATTTGTAGGTAGAGGAGGGCATTCTGGGAAGAGAACGTGAGTGACGTGGAAGGAGGGACGGACTGGAGGCCCAGCCTGGCGCAGAGCGTGGACCTGGGGAGGGCGGAGCAGGACAGGAGGCTGGGAAGTGGGCTGGGCCCTGCCCTGGGGGCCTTGAACGCCAGGCTCTGGAGCTGGTCCTGTGGCGACAGCCCCCGGGGAAGTGAGATCTCCTACGGCTCAAGGGGTCTCTCGGGCCGCCCCCCCCATGATCCAGGTGGGGTGTCTTGGGACGACTGCTCTCAGGTGGGGTGGGGTCAAGGGTAGGTCCTGGGCACCTGGTGACCTTGGGGATACCTGCAGGGTGAAGGTGACAGGTAGGCATCAGATAAAGGGACCTGAAGTCCGAGGAGGGCTGGGAGATGCACATTTGGGGGTGAGGGCCCCCTCCACGGTGACCTCCTGCGATGTGTGTGCACGCTCACTGGGCGCGACCCTCGGGAGGAGCCTGGACTCCTTGCTGACCCCTCCTCGTGCCCAGCCCAGCCCATCGCCAGCACGTCCCCCAGCTCCACGGCCCTCGGCCCCCCCTCATCGGCAGTGACCATAAACCAAGGACAAAGTAACAATGCTCAGAACCAGACCCCGGGGTCCCTGGCGCCAAATCCTGAGCAGAGTTCCCCAAACAGACGCGCGATCAGATGGCACTCACTGAGCGGGTGCTTTTAATAATATTTCAGTGAACGGGAAACGGTTTAGGACTAATAACAACGGAGCCCTAGCGTCACTGGAGCTTTGCCTCGCTTCGTCTTTACTTCCCGTTTCTCACTTGGGATGTTTCACACACACACGCGCGCGCACACACACACACACACGCGTGTATAGCTTAAAAACGAACAGACACGGTGGCGGAGCCACTGACAGCGACTTTCACTGAGGAGGGTGGTCGAGGCCTGGACCTTGGAGGCCACCAGCGTGGGGGGCAGAAGGGCGCGCTCAGGGCCACCTGGCGTCCCTGGGCCCGCCGACCTCCCCTGGGAGTGGGGTGCCGAGGGGCCAGGTCATCAGGCCTGTGAGTCAGCGGTTTCCTTGCCAGGCCTCGGTTTACCATCTGGAAGGTGGGAACAGTCATCGGGGCTGAGTCTGCCCCACTGGGTGCCTCTCAGAGCCGTGGGGCCCACGGAGAAAGCGGGGCTCTCCACACCGATGTGGAGCTTGCCCAGCCCAGCGGGGAGGTGGGAACCCGGCCCGAGAGCCCCCCCAGAACAGGTTCATTTCCCAGCGTGGATGCTGCCCCGGCATGTGACACATACACGGCCTCACAACTACCCGGCAGATCCCAGCCGTGAGCCCGACCAGCCCGAGGCGGAGGGGCCTCGGGAGGGAGGAGCCGCTGCCCGGGACGCGGGAGAAGGTGGTGCCGTCCCCGGACTGGCGCTGTTCCGGGGGCACCAGGACCCGTTTCAGCCGGGCCCCTCCAGCATGAACGCTTCAGAGCCTGAGTGTGTGTCAGTAAGGCGGCTGCTCCAGTTGTTCTGTGTGGTTCAGCGTATTTATCACTTTTTTTTAAAAAAATTATATCTTTATTGATTTCAGAGAGAGGAAGGGAGAGGGAGAGAGAGAGAAACATCAGTGATGAGAGTCACTGACCGGCTGCCTCCTGCGCGCCCCCGACTGGGGATCGAGCCCACAACCCGGGCCTGTGCCCTGACCGGGAATCGAACCCCAGTCGCCTGGATCCTAGGTTGGCACTCAACCGCCGAGCCACGCTGGGCCGGGATATCGCTATTTTTAAAACGCATCCCCCCCCCGGGGATATGTCCCTTGGCTCCCTGTTAGGTGAGCCGGGCGGCCCTGCTCCAGCCCCCGGCCCCCGGCCCCAGTGGCCTGGCTGTAGTCGGCCGAGATGTCCTTTCCCTCCCTGACAGGAAGGGGTTTGTCGAGGGGCCTGGGGCCCATGGGGTGGCCGCAGTTGAGCAGGGACCGTCCCTGGTGGGTCATTCTGCTCGGCCTCGCCTGTTGAAATGGTCTCCACGTGTTCAGATCAGGAGGGAGAGAGTCGCTCTTCTGTGTGTCCCGTCTCCGGGGGAGCGGAGCAGGGGCGGAGAAGCGGGCAGAGAGCCTGGGCACAGTCTGGGAGCCCAGCACGGGGATCCCACTTTTATCCCGCCCCCTTCATGCCCGCAGGTGAGGCCCAGGGAGATCCCAGCGCACCTAGGAAGGCGGAGGGAGGTTGGGCCCCGATTTAGGGCTAAGGCCCCAGCGAGCAGAGCTTTCCCGGGAGAGTGAATTTGCAGTGGGCACAGGAAGCGTTGGCTCTGTGTGAGCGTGGGGGTGAGGGCCCCGGGCACCCGGCAGCCCGGAGGCACTAGGGTGGTCACTCATGGGCCTGTGTGCCCAGCACCCACCTTCTGGGATGTGCCCTCCCGCCTGGACCTCACAGTGCACCTGGTCCGTGTGTTAGCGGCATCCTGGTGCCCGTGGCCCCAGCCGATTGTTCTCGGGTGGGCACTCGGCCCGGTTCCTGCCCAGGGAGCTTGGAGCCGGGACCAAGAGGGAGCACGCCACCCTTGGTCGGTGCCCACGGAGCCAGGCTGCCAGCGGCCGTGTTTGCCGGGTGGGTCTCAGGAGCCACAGATGCCCACCTTCCAGCGAGGACACGCTGTGCAGAGGTGAGACGTGAGGGGCCCACGCAGGGGTGCCAGTAACACGGATTCCCAGCCCCCTTGGTCCCGCGGCCCAGCCCCATCTCCTCCTTGGGTCCCGTGGACAGTCCCTTGTGCGGTCAGTCCAGCCATCGTTTTGAGCTGGGTGGAGCTGGGGCCTGTTCCATGCAACCAGAAAGTGTCCTAATCAATAAAACATTGAAATACAATTTCTGCAACTCTCGGAATGAATTAGCTCCATAAATTACCACTCGGGTACAAGACACTTGGCACCATTCTGTTACAATCATTCGGAATTTTGGGTCCAGAATGTTATTGAATTTCTTTCACATCATGTCAGTTACGTTAGGAACATCGCGTCCATTCTGTTTGGGGAGTTAATTTTCTAACGACTGCCTTAAATCTCATTTTTCTCAGCAATTATTTGGACGTAACTGCACATTTTAATGACCCGTCTGCTCGCCCTGTTTCTCCTGCCCACCGCCCGCGCTCTGGTCCTGTCGTCCTGCCCAGCCGCCCCTCACGGTCGCACCCGCTCATCGCCGCGGGCGCCCGGCCCGGG